ACAATAACAAAAAATGTAAACAATACTTACTTGACTAAAAAATTACTGTAGGGCCCCTTTAACAATGTCAAGGCGGGTCAAGGTTTTATCAAAAGCGATTGACTGTTAGATTTACTTTACAAATTAATAACTAAATAACGTTATTTCCTATAGATATAGCTTTATTGTAACTTTTTAATGGGTATAAAAAACGCGTGGAAACGGTGAATTACTACAATAGATTGAAAATTATTATTATTTATCATTTTGACGTTTGAGTGATTGAAATTAGTTAATTTATACTATATCGAATGTCATGTTGAATCTTATGCGTACTTCACAATGGTTGCTATTTCGTTGTATATTTCAATCTCGATTTCAATTGTATTACTATTTATAATTTAAATTGTGTTTGATATTTATATTTCATGTTGTTTACAAAATGTGCTGTAGTTTTGAAGCTTTGCACACAATATAATCAGTGCGAGCACAATGGCTCCGTTTCAGTATATAAAAATCGAGTATTTTGATAACGTTCGCGGCTTTGAGGATTTCAATTGTATTACTATTTATAATTTAAATTGTGTTTGATATTTATATTTCATGTTGTTTACAAAATATGCTGTAGTTTTGAAGCTTTGCACACAATATAATCAGTGCGAGCACAATGGCTCCGTTTCAGTTTGAGTATATAAAAATCGAGTATTTTGATAGCGTTCGCGGCTTTCACGATATATAAATATAAACGCGTGATAGTTGATAAATAATCAGTGCGAGCACAACGGCTCCAAAATCACAACAAATAACAAAATATAAGGTAAGTTAAAACAGTAAAGATTTACCTACCTCGATTTATTTTTCTAAGGCGCTCGATTATGTAAATTTTCGGCGAATAATCAATATATAGATTTTCTTTGCGTTTCCTCGACGAAAACCCGGCATGAAAATGTTCGTCGGAACCTCGGTATTTGTCGTATTTTACGAATCTGCCACGTGACTGGTACGCTCACCGACCACCGCTCACCGAACACGACACGAAATTTAGAGCTATATGAAAGTTGCATGCCATATATGGCATGCAACAAAAAAGTGGTCCCTGGCCTGGTTACCAAGCATATCGCATTTGTAAATAGAAAATGTTATGGAAATTTCCTTTGTGTTTATAATTAAAGTCATTAGTTTTGCTCTAATGCTGTCGGAACCAGGGGCGGCGGAACAGGGGGGGCTAGGGGGCTAAAGCCCCCCCAGAAGTAAAAGTGGGGGGGCTTAGCCCCCCCAGAAAATTTGAATTTTTGGAAAAAAATTTGATAATTACGGAAAAATTTAGGTTATTTTTTGAAAATTTAGGTATGAGGGGACAAATTTGCAATATTTTGTTTAAAGGTGATCTACAGTCCGATCTGCGCATGTGCACAAATGAGCCCACTTTTTATGATACAAACCGGTTTAACTATGTTTTGAGTTCTTGAAAAGCCTGATTGTTGTTTCTTGATCATTTATTATACTCTAGAAGCTTGAAAATATAAATAGTTGTCGAATAAAGCTCAATATTTTGGACACAAAAATGTAAACAAAG